TCTCATCTCTTTTTCGGTACTCTCGCTTCTTTCACGACTTTCTTGTCTCTCTCATAACTTTCTTGTTTCTCTCACGGCTTTTTTATCTCTAGCTTCTTGTTTCTTTCGCGGCTCTCTCGTCCCTGTCATAGCTCTTTTGTTTCTTTCTTACAGCTAGTGATGATATACGATTCATTTTATTAACGAAGTAAAATAAAATGAATATATGTATAAAATTAGATAAAATAATGAATCAAATCAAATAAAACCCGCCTATCTAATAATTAATGTCTATTGTAGAAATAAAAAATAATTCTTTAATGTGTCGAGTTAAAGCAATAAAATAAAATAAAAAAATATATATATGTATATATATAAATTACATGAAATATAAATCAAATTAAATAAAAAATAAAATAAAATAAAACATGACATGAATTAAATAACAAAATAAATGATAATATAAAGAATATATTTGACAAACTTGTGTAAATGAACATAAACTTCTGCTTTTTACGGACGATCGTTTTCACGAGGTTTCGCGTTCCGCAGACTCTTTTCTTTTGGGCGCTTCGCATGCCCTCGTGCGCCACGGCATAGATAACTTAAGAACTAAAACAAATAACAGGGCGCTGAAGACGCTTACTTTCGCTTATGTATTAGGCCGCGCTTTTCAAACGAAATCAATAGTGACAAAAATAAGGGTATGCTAAACGTAAAACTCCTACATTAATAATAATAGAAAACGTGCGAAACAAATTAAACTATACAAATAATGATATGCAATTAATTAAAAAAATTTTTTTGTTAAAATAATATAGCAACCTACATGAATTTTTACATAAGACCTGTATTTTTAGCCGAAAATATATTCTTTTAAATGAAATTGAATAAATTTAAATAATTTATTGTATAAATTAATTTATTTAATTTTGTAAAAAAGCAAACTTTTTCTTAAAGGAAAAATTATATTTCTTAAACGTTTTTTTACTGAAAAAGAAACGTGTTTTTAAACGTTTTTTGAGTGGACATTTTAATCACTCAAAAACGTTTTCAAAAGTCGGTTATGAAACGTTTCAAAGAAACAATTGTAAAACGTTTCTAAAACGAATATGTGCTACTTGGGATAATGTGTCCTAATTATGCCTGTATTACGTCCGGTGCGGACATTTTGAGTATGTACATACATAGGATGGCCTTAGAGTGAAACATAGGACATCCCTTGTACGTCCATTGGATGTACACAGGACATATTGGGTCCTGTGTGTGAGGATGTCCTCAGGACCTGTACCAAACATCCGAATTGCATCCTTGTTACATCCTTGTGTTATGTGGGTAAGTACAACACAATGTCCCTAACAGCACACGTTAATACTGAGAACGTTCGAAGAACATCATAAAATTATATTACGTAAATGCTCAGTATATTCGAAATACGTACTACGACATACGTAGTACATACTGAGAAAGTTCCTATATTGTCTCGCATACTTTAGTTAGTGGTACATACTGAGAAAATCCCGCGTTATGTCTGTAGAACATTTATAGTATGAGAACAGTACATTATGTACAGCACGCATACATATATATATAGCTTTGCGCGCGCGCGCTTCTAAACGCATATTTGGTTAGATTAGGTTATATATTAATTGATACTGTGTTTTAAATGCATTAATATATATTTATTCATATAAAATTTTAATCATACAAATATTAGACATTTATAAATTGAATTAACTTCTTAAATTAAATATATATATTTATAACACTTTTTCAACTCAATATAACACCGGGCAAAAAGTTTTCATACAAGACAATACATAAATATATATAAACATAAATAAATATATATAATTATACACAAAATATGTCCATACATATTCATATTAATTTCTTTTTTGTGTAAAATTTCTATTTGATATAAGAAAAGTAATAATAATAATGAGAAGACAAAAAATTAAGAATGAGAAAGAATTAGTCTAATATACAGGGTGGACCATTTTAATTCATCCAGTCGAATATCTCGAAAATCAAGCTCGGGAGAGGAAAATTTTTCAGACAAAAGTTGTTTGATTTCGAAGGGACCATAAGATGGTACCATTG